GCAATATTTTTATAATGTGGGAAATACAAAGGCAAGAAAATGTAAGTTAACTATTTCCCAAAATATGTCCAGTTGCCTCTTGAAAAAGCACCTTTGGGACAACTATGCCCTGCATGACTGAGAATCTCCATAGACAATTATTGCAATACTGTGAAACTGAGGAAGTACTGCATTGCCTAAAGCAGGATCCCCTTTTTGACAGACTGAACAGCATACAGCCACCATCTAATAAATTAATAATTCATCACATTCTTCTGGAGTACAATTCCCCACATCTGATATTTCTGCTGACAAAATACTTAGATCATCCAGCCAAAGATGAAGAAGCTTCTTGGATGAGAAGCGAAATGTGTTTAAAGAAAATAAGAAAGTCCAGTTGCCTCTTGAAAAAGCACTGGGACTTTAGACCATACTTAGAAATAATTAACAATTATTAATTCTTAAACAGCCCATAGGATTTTCTTTCTTTTTATTAAACAGCTGGAAGTAACATCTGAGCACATTGTCTCCTGGAATTAAAAAATAACAAAATCTTGAAAGTAAAAGTACAGCTAAACTAAATCTAATATATTGTTAAAAAGCCATTGCTTTGTTGGAAGAAATGTCCATCTGGGTTCAATTCCAAGTGGGAAGAAAGATACTGGAAACATGGAGACTGCTTGGAAAGATGGTTTAATGGTGGACAGGACCACATCGGTTTTTTGGGTCCTGGGCAAAATGAGCACATGGGTGAGAGAGGGAGAGAGATTTATACCCCCTCTTGGGCCCTGCCTTGGAGCTTTCTTTCAATGTGAAAGAAATGTATTCTGATTGGTTGTCAGACTCCCATGGATCCATGCAGGGGTAACTTTGTAGTGTCTTGAGTCCCAAGCTTGGTTGAATCTTGCTGGGTGATGTAATGAAGGGGCTTTGGGCAATTCCTATTATGGCTTGTAGGAAGTTAGCACCCACCCCTTTCCTGGAAGAATGAAATATTTTAGGAAATATTAAAAAGGCAGAATATTATATTTCCCTGGATGAGAAATGGAGAAACATGTTTTAAAAGACAAGCAGCTTCCTGCCTCCCCCCCCCACCCCTTTGTTAATGGGCCATAATCTGCAACACAATAGCAACAGAAACTAACACAATGGGACCCATCTAGGACAGAAACTCACCACATGGCACCCGGGAAGATTACATCAGCCAGCAAGGCTAGCTAAGACCCCCACCCCCTGGGAGTCTGACAACCAATCAGGATACTCTTTCGGGGCCCCAGGAAGTTCAAAGCCAGAGAAAGCATTGAAGGGAAACAATAATAAGGATATAATAAATAATACTAGGATGTGATATACTGATATACTAGATTCTGTAACCATTAGGTTCCTGTAATACATATATGCCTTTGTATTTGTATCATATATATTATGCCTTTATATTTGTATCTCCTGTAACAAACATATTCTGTTATTAGGCCTGTAATGTATCTGGTATTTGTCAAACATATGTCCCTGCCATTTGACCTGAACCCATATCAATCTTCTCCCTGTTTTTTCTTGTGCCATCTAAGAGCATGGTACGTATCTCCAAGAGATAATTTACACCTCAGTCCTAATTTATGTTGATCTGGATAGACTCCTACTTTCCAGGGTCAGGAAGCGCCAAAGTGACCAATTGAGTAAACAAAGAAATGCTCAAGATGACTAATTGGGAAGTTTCTATTCCCCCTTGCAGGGCAACAAGGAATGCACGGGCCTGGATTGGGAGGCCAGAGTTGGGTACTAAGCTGACATCTCTGAGGGTATAAAATAAGGTGACCAGACGTCCCGCTTTTGGCGGGACAGTCCCGCTTTTGAGCAATTTGTCCCGCGTCCCGCGGCGTTTTAAAAAAGTCCCGATTTTTCATTCTGCCTCCTGAGTCCCGGCTGCCTCCTGAATCCCCGCTGATGGCTAGAGGGAAAAAAAACTCTTTAAACTCTTGCCACGGGGCTTCAAAGGGCCGACCTACAGCTGATCAGTGTTAAAAAAAAATGAATAGACCCATGCCTGCAAAAATAGAAAAAACAGCCCCTGTTAACAGCTTCCGCTAGGTTAATTAGCTGCAAAAAGCTGCAAAAAGTTCCTGGAGCAGATTTTTTTCCCCCTAGCTATACTAAAAACAAAGGCGAAAGCGAAACTAAACCTGCAAGGTGACAAAATGAGGCAGAGAGAGATTTCTTTCTTTTTCTTTTTCTTTTTCCTCACCAAAAAAGGTAGGTACAAAACTGCAAACAATGGGAAATTTTGGGCAAAAGAGGAGAGTTCAAGATTTTAAAACACAAAAGAAAAAAAGCTCTATTTAACTAGGGAATTGTAATAATTGAGATACTATTAATAATTGTATATTGTGTTGAAAGCAGAAATGGTTAAGTTGTGGTTTGGAGGAATATATGGGGGAAATTATTTGGTTTATTATTATTGGTAAATATAATTAATTGATTTGTAAGAAATTGGATTGCATGGAAATAATTGGAATATTCATGTTCATATTGATTAATATACAAAAAAGATAGTTATATAACTAATTGATTTATATTAAAATGTTGAATTTGTATTAAACAACTGTATTACATAATTACATAATTAACCAATGTGAGGATGGATATAAAAATAGATGACAACGGGAAGGGGTATAATATAGAATAGAAGGGAAAAATTGAATTTGATTAAGATTAGAGATGAGGATGAAGGGTAATATTGTTTTTTTTAAAAAAATAGATGAGGAATAAATATGGCAAAAAGGAAATATAGAAATTGTAAATTTAATTGAAATGACTAAACGCTGTTTAAATTTGTGAACCAGTCAAATATTCTGTTCAAAGAAAATACATTGTATGTTTGTATGTGTGTTTCTAATTATTGCCATTTATTCATATTTGTTCTCTTTTATTCTTTAAAGTTTAACAATTCATTCTTAATCTTAATATCTTTATATTTGCTTGGGGTTGGCTTTCTTCCCTTTCATCTTTTTTATTGTACAGCAATCTTTCTCCTCAAACCTACCACCACTCTCTTTTCTTTCCTTCTTACTTTCTCTTCCCCCCACCCTCTTTTTCTCCTCCCTACTTCCTCTTCCTTTCTCCTTCTCCTCCTCTCTTCCTCCCTCTCTTACCCTCACTCCTACTCTAATTTCCATTCCTTCATCCCTCTCTATTGCTGTATCCTTTAATGCATATGGACTACTCAGAGGGCTGAAAAAGTTATTTTTGACTGGTCCTCACACTTTTGACCAGTCCTTGAACTTATGACTGTCCTCACATTTTACATTTTTGCCCTATCTTGTCATCATGGTGAAGAGAAGCAGTTGTGAAATGAGTGACATGGTTGTTAAGAATGCTGCATGGGCATAAATATGAGGATGGTCATAAGTGTGAGGACCAGTCAAAAGTGCGAGGACCTGTCAGAAATGACTTTTTTCAGCCCTCTGGTTAGTCCTTTTGTGCATATGGACTACTCAGAGGGCTGAAAAAGTTATTTTTGACTGGTCCTCACACTTTTGACCAGTCCTCGAACTTACGACTGTCCTCACATTTTACATTTTTGCCCTATCTTGTCACCATGGTGAAGAGAAGCAGTTGTGAAATGAGTGACATGGTTGTTAAGAATACTGCACGGGCATAAATGTGAGGATGGTCATAAGTGTGAGGACCAGTCAAAAGTGTGAGGACCTGTCAGAAATGACTTTTCAGCCCTCTGAGTAGTCCCTATACACATAGCCATGGCCACCCGGTCACATGACCAGCTAGCCACGCCCACCCAGTCACATGGCCTCCAAGCCACGCCCACACAATAAGTCACGCCCACAATGGTGTCCTTCTTACCAATGTTAAAATCTGTTCACCTTACCCTATACACATAGCCATGGCCACCCGGTCACATGACCAGCTAGCCACGCCCACCCAGTCACATGACCAGCTAGCCATGCCCACCCAGTCACATGACCAGATATCCACGCCCACAAAATAAGCCACGCCCACAATGTCCCTCTTTACCAATGTTAAAATCTGGTCACCTTAGTATAAAAGGACGCCATACCTTCCCCAAGGGGTGGCTATCTCGTCGCATGCATTGTATCTGTATGTTCTAGATATAGTTCCACCCAGTATTTTGTTTTTGGCCATAAATAAAATCTGTTTTTTTGCAAGCCTCGTCTTGAGTCTCTCTCTTTGGCATTCTGGTGACTCAAGTGTATTTTGGAACCTTACAGCATAAAACCTGGGGACTCACTGTATCTCGCCCTTTTTCTGTTCAGGAACTCAAGCCATGTGATCCTTTCCACCATTAAACCATCTTTCCAAGCAGTCTCCATGTTTCCAGTGTCTTTTTCCCCACTTGGAGCTGAACCCAGAAGGATATTTCTTTCAACAGGCTTAATGGCTTTGTCCTGGTTTGAATCTTGAGTGAGGGCTAATCCTATCATGTCCTGAGGGCCATGTCTTTTGTATTGTAGTTAAGCTGGCCCAGCCTTTGTCTTTGTAGATTGGTTGGCACCAAAATATGTGCTGGGGGGGGGGGGGCAGGGGGCTGAGGCTCTGAGTGTGTCTTTACAAACATGTTTCTCCTTTAGGGAAAATATAATATTCTGCCTTTTTAATATTTCCTAGAATATTTCATTTTCCTAGGAGAGGGGTGGGTGCTAACTTCCTACAACTTCTTACATGGCCAGGATGAACAGATGTACCTTATGCAATGATAAAAAGGTTCCCATTAATATATTTTGCTTTATTCTAGTTATTATCTTTGTATAAACTAATCTACTGTGCTTTATGAACCGTAGTTTATGAATTAGTGTTTTGTGAACTCGGCTGATGGTGATTTTTTCCCCCTGCAATTCGTGGTCAAGCATGCCACAATTAAAGAGGCGGGGTCTTTCTGCCACTCTAGCGGTAGCGTAATGCGCAGGCGCATCCCGATTCTAACTCGAACATGTTGCCCGGTAGCCTTTCAAATCTCGTGCACATGCGCACCAAGGAAGCGAGAGGCGGGGCGACGTTACTAGTCTTCAGTGGGTAGTGATCTTGCCGCCATTTTGGACTTCCTTTTCTCCTCCCCCCTCCCCTTCTCCTTCCTTACAGCACTCGAAAGAAGCAGCGACTGAGCGGAGAGCTCTTGGTGCGCTTTCTTTCCCCTCCTTGCCGTCTCACTTGGCGATCCGTACGGTTGGAAAACTCGAGCTATGTCCGCCAACAGGAACCTGAAGCAAGTGAGGATCGAGAACAGTTCTCCGGCGTCGGCACCTCCGATGAGCATGGTGGGCGGCGGCCCGATGAAGGCGCTGAGAGGTTTGGAGAAGCCGTCCGAGAACGAAGCTTTGGCCGCCGCTCTGGCGATGGCGAAGCAGGAAGAGGAGGGAAGCGGCGGAGGCTTTACGGTCGACATTAAGAGCTTCCTCAAGCCCGGCGAGAAGAGCTATACGCAAAGATGCCGCCTCTTCGTCGGGAACCTTCCCACCGACATCACCGAGGAGGACTTTAAACGCCTTTTTGAGCGCTACGGGGAGCCCAGCGAGGTCTTCATTAACCGCGACCGCGGCTTCGGCTTCATCCGCCTGGTGAGAAGCCGCGCCCGCAATTCTTGGCGTGAGGGCGCGAAGGGGATTCATTCGCCTCCCCAAATGAAATAACCGCATGGCCCTCATGAAACACGTCCTCCTCCCCCTCCTTCGAGGGGGGGGGGGGGGTTTTTCCGCCGGCGGCCGCCCCGCCAGCCCCCCCCCCCCCCACGCTCCTCGCCACGGGTACGCGCCCCCCCCCTTCTGCTTCAGACGCCCGGCGCGCGCCAGGCCTCCCCGGCCGCTTTGTCCTCTCCCCCCCCCCTTTTTTTTTTTTTTGCTCTTTTTCTTTTGCTGAGGGGTTGAAACTCGGGACTATCTACAACACAGGCGCCCGCTATCAAAAACGTTTACCAGATTTTCCCGGTTTAAATGGAGTTCCCTTTATAAAGGACTCCTTCCCGGGTGTAAAATGATAGTTAAAAAACGTGGCTGAAATTCGGTGTTGCCGCGCGACCGTTCCTAAAAAAGGGCCCTTCCTTGTTGCCGCTGTACTGCGCTTCCGTTCAGTTCCCGTCCACGTGTTGGTCGCCGGTGCTGTCTTTAATAATTGCGTTATTATACTTGTCCCGACGAAGTATTGCCGAGAGGGGCATGCTTATTGTACAGGTAGTCCTCAACTTACAACAGTTCGTTTACTGACCGAAGTTACAAAGTGACTTATGACTCTTTTTCACACTTGCAGCATCCCCATGGTCAAAGTTCAGATGCCTGGCCAGTAGTTCATATTTATGACCGTTGCAGTGCCCCAGGGTCATCCATGTGATCCTCTTTTGTGACCTGATGAGCAAAGTCCATGGGGAAGCCAGAGTCACTTAACAACCGTGATTGTTCACAACTGCAGTGGCTCACTTAACAACTGTGGCAAGAAAGGTCATAAAATGGGGCAAAACTCACTTAACAAATGTCTCACTTAGCAACAGAAATTTGGGGCTCAATTGTGGTCATAAGTTGAGGACTACCTGTATATTTTTTTTACAAAATAATAAAAACAGTTTGTATCTTTATCGTAACATCTCCAGGAGCTTTTTCCCTCCATCTTTGGGTAGGTGTGGATCAAACCAGTAATAAGAATATGCAAAAAAAAAAAAAAGAGTTTATAACTGAAATTCTATATTTTTCTCTTTTGGAAAAAAATTGCTATTTCCTGGATATCACTCTTTCAGTTTGTGTATTGATATCATTCAGAAAGATGACATAAAGCAGTGCAGTGACTGTTACAGTACTTTCCAAAGCATCTTCAGCTTCTACTGATAAATATTAAACTATTTATGGGGAGGAATCTATTTTAAAAGATTGTTATTTACAATTGCTTCATTTATTTATAGTAAATCATAGCATTATCAATAGAGCTGGTTCTCATAACACTTGAATAGACATTTTTTTAAAAGATTAATGCTTTACTAAGAAGACATTAGTTTATATTCATAATACTTTGCTCTTTAGAGTTCCTGTTTAGGATGTTTTATTTTGGAAATGTTTCTTTAGTTTCTCCTTAACACAAACTCGCAGAAGTGGAAGTGTTTACCATAGTAGTTTAGGTATCTTTATTAACTTTAAACATCTATAACTTGTGAGATGGGTAGCCATATAAATGTGATTAATAAATTTGCGTTTTTAATGTATTAAAATACCTGGATCTGGTGGAAGGGATTGTTTTAGTGAAACTTAATAAAACTAAGAAACAAGCCACATTCCAGGTTATGCAATGAATAAAGTTTTTCTGATAATGCAGTTGGAGCAGTGCAGTACAGGTGAAAATTGGTGCCTAGTTTTCCTATATCCATTTAAATTCAAAATGGAGCTGGCTCATTTAAATAGGCTTTCAAGCCAATTGGGTTATGGTCATGCTGATTTTTGTTTTGTTTTGCTGAAACTGCAGTACATAATTGTTTTGTGTACTTCAATTCATAATTTTCTTAGCTTTTATGCAATTTTATGCATTTTTATGCAGATACATTTGAAGAAAAATCTTGTTGATGACTAGTTTTGTAGGGCACACTGATTTTTTTCAGTGAGAATTGTTTTGTATTCTCATTTTGTGTTATAGAATGCTAGTGTGATTAATACTAGCTTTAAGTTTAATTATCCAAGGCATAGTTCAAGGTAAAACACAAATGTGCAATGGCTTACCACTTTGGCCAGCCTGTTGTAGAACAGTCAGTTTGACAGTTATGAGTCATAGCTTGTTCTTAGTTATAATTTGATAGGTGTTAATTAAGCCACAGAAAAAAGATATTCTCTGCTTTTACTCTTCTATTGAGAAAGAATACCTGTTCATTCAAAGAACCTTGCTATTAGTTTCTACCCTGTTCCCCAAAATAAGGCATCCCCTGATAATAAGCCCAATTGGGCTTTTTAGTGCATGGCAATAAGGCCAAATGCTTATTTCAGAGTTCAAAAAATATAAGACAGGGTCTTATTTTTGGGAAACATGGTATAAATGTTTGTTACCAGTAAAGTTTAAAGTTAATCAGGGATCTAATAAACTCTTGCTTGGGTTTATTCTCAACCAAATTCAGTAGATTTGAGGCTTGTCAAGCTAAATACTAGTGAGAAAGAAAAGAGTGCCTGTTCAAGCATAATTGCTTGTTTAAAAATCCTTCAGTGAATGTAATGATACTTGCTCTACAGCAGAAAAAATGTTTTTGAATTCCTTATTTTAGCCTTTGTAGTCAAGCTGCTGCAATTGATAGAGAACCTGGAGATTGTCTATGCAACTATTGGCAAGATTCCCACCAGCCACTGCAGTTTTTAATCTGCAAAAATGATCATCTGTCTTGTTGCTAGAAGTGGTAATAGAGGAAAATATTTAAATACCTTTACAGGTTCTGAATGATTACATGTAATGTTAAATTCTTAATTATATGTAATATCTACACATAATATAATTGTGTATATATCTTGCATTTTTTTTTGAAAAGGAGTCCAGGACCTTGGCTGAAATAGCAAAGGCAGAACTTGATGGAACAGTTTTAAAGAGCAGGCCACTCCGAATTCGATTTGCCACCCATGGAGCTGCTTTAACAATTAAGAATCTTTCACCAGTTGTTTCCAATGAGCTTTTGGAACAAGCTTTCTCTCAGTTTGGGCCTGTGGAAAGAGCGGTTGTTGTCGTAGATGATCGTGGTAGAGCAACAGGCAAAGGTTTTGTGGAATTTGCTGCAAAGCCTCCAGCGCGTAAAGCTCTAGAAAGATGTGGTGATGGCGCATTCTTGCTTACAACGTAAGTTTACTCTTTGCTACATTTATTGTGATTTTAAGAGTTTAAAATATGTACCACTAGCATTCTCAAGGCAGATCCTCCACCTAGAAATCAACATAGATGAAAGAAATCTTCTGGCATAGGAACAAATTATCAAGGTCCAGAATATGGTAAGTTTTTGTTATCTATGAGATCACCCTTGTAGATATTGACAAAGGTTATAGGGAATAATGATAGCATCCTCAATACTTTGAGTCTGCTTTTACTCTAAAACACTTCCGTGGTTCCTCTTACCATTTCAAAACCAAATGCTTAAGCCCAAGAATCCCTAGCAGGGTGACCAAATCCTTGAAGTCAACCAGCAAGGAAAATATCACTCAGAAATCTAATAAAAGCTAATTAAGGATCACATAACTACAGATACCAACCAGATGGGAGGAGAGACAAATTTGCAAAACTGTTTGGTTCATGGGTTGTGGTCACAGGGTGAGTTGATAGTCCCTCTCAATCAACCACAATTGAGGACGACCTGCTTGGCTTTGAAAGCATTAGCATATCTGGTAAATGATTGATTATCATTTACCTGTTGATGTCATGTTTACCTGTCATGTGGATGTTGATTCTTAGTGGCCACATACATTTTCTCCATGATGTGTAAAGATTTGACATGTTCAGACAGACAATATCACAGTAGAAATAGTCCTCGACTTAACAACCACAATTCATACCAACATTTCTGTTGCTACATGAAACATATGAATTTTGTCCCATTTTACGATCTTTCTTGCCACAGTTATTAAGTGAATCACTGTAGCTGCTAAGTTAGTAACACAGTTGTTAAGTGAATCTGGCTTCCTCATTGAATTTGCTTGTCAGAAGGTCACAAAAGCTTATCACAGGACTCCAGGACAGTGCAGCTATCAAATAGGAATCAGTTGCCACATGTCCGAATTTTGATCACAGGACCATGGGGATGCTACAATGGTTATAAGTGTGAAAAACAGTCATAAGTCACTTTTTTCAGTGCCATTGTAACTGAATGGTCACTAAATGAACTGTTATAAATTGAGCTCTACCTGTAAAGGAGTAAAACAGCCAAGGCAGAATAAGATGAAAGGCCTTCATAACAAAGTGTCATAATTAATCATTTTGATAAATTTGGGAAGTACACAAGGGAATTGTTGAAAATTGAAGCAGCGTGGCTGAGTTAATAAAGTCAATCACAGAAGAATTGGGTCATGCATCCCAAGGTATTCCAAAAAAATATCTGAAGGTGGGAGCTGGTTAACCTATTTGAAATAAAAGACATCAGGAGGTTTAATCAGTTCTCCTGATTTCAAGAATAAAAGAAAAAAAAATTATGAGAAAAAGAATTTGAAATGAATGGGAAAAGGCTAAATAAGAATTTGAACCAAGAAAATTATAAATAAATTAAGGATCGATCAAAGTTGGAATATTGAAACTTACTACAAGAATTTGGAACGAACTTTACAAACTAAACAGATTTTGTAGGTATCAGGAGTTATTTCGTCTGCTGTAGGTCATAACAGATTACATACTTGATGATTTAAATTGAAAAATAGACTGAACTAAAGATTCCAGGTAAAAAGAAAAAAAAAAGAACCTTTGCATTTGGTTTTGATTAGAAGATTGGGATTTCTAAAATGACACTAAATACTATAACATTTGAAATATTAAAGAACTCTTTGAAGAATGGGGCCAGAAATTAGTTAGCTACAATATCAACAACAATAATACAATATATAATACAATAACAATATTGGCAACATTGTCTGTTTCTATGGATAAACTGTGTTTAAAGGATATTAAGGTATGTGGAACAAATCTTGCTTGATTCAGGAATAGTGGAATATTGGATTAAAAAAGTGGTTTACAAGGTGAAATACAAATGACAGCCAAAAGAATGAAAGGGGAAATGCAAAGGATAAACCAAAAATTGGATTGACTAATTAATATCTTTTATTGAATATACAAAAGAGGCTTAATGATTGAATTTAGGATGGACTTAAAAAAATTATGCATTTTGGGCACTTGGCAACTGCCTTGCATTTACAACTGGTTTCAGCATCCTGCAGTCATGTAATCATATTTTGTGACTTTTTTGCTGTTTTCTAGCAAAAAGTGCATATTAAATAAATTTGATTAAGACTTGCATCTACATGATACGCTTAATGACAATGGTGATTTATTTAATGGCTCTTGTATACATGTTGATTTGATTTAACAATCGCCATGACTTGCAACCAAAATTCTGAGGTCAATTGTGGCTATAAATTGAGGACTAAATCTGTGTGTGTGTGTGTGTGTGTGTGTGTGTGTGTGTGTGTGTGTGTGACTTTTCCTTTATTTCATTCCTTTTTCTGCTTTTTTTACTTTTCTTTGCATTCCTTTTTTGCTCTTTTTACTTTATGAGTTTAGTTTGTATTAGTTGTGTAATTAAAAACTTCAATAAAAATTACATTTGTGTCTGCTGATCTATAAATGAAAATTCTTCTTTGTTGGTATTTCCTCAGGGCTCTTTCTCTTAATCACACACTATGCCTTCATGTGACTGGCACATAACTACCACTCCTTTGAACGCATTAGGCAAATTCTTGTAAGCTGCTTCACTTGGAAGATGATTTTCCTAACATTTGTGGTCTTAAGTGGAACTGGGGAACTCAATGAGGGGAGAAATAGTGTTTTTATGTCTTTACTTCTTCCTTATGTTTAAGGGCATTTTCAAATTTCACAAGGGGTAGGAGATAGAAAAAGCAGGGTTTTTTTTTCTATATGCCGCTCATCCCATGGGATATGTTTGCTACAAATTTGATATGCTCAAACATTTTAGAATTTTCCCAAAGAGGAAAATTCTGCTCAGAGGAGCAGAAAGGTGATATCTTATTTGTCTCTCATAACTCAATCTTCCATAAGCAAGTGGGTCACAGAACAACAACTGGCAGACATCATAATCTCTTTTTAAATCAGCAGCAACCTTCAAAGCTCTGGCAATGGGTTTCCATATGTAGATATTCATAGGTAGCAATCTGGATTTGGTCAGCTGAAAGTATACTTCTGTAAAAGTATACTTTTCAATAGTAAGAAAACAATTAGGAAATCAAGTCAAAATATTTTCCTATATTCTGTGTGGAGTTTTTTTTTTATCACGTAACGGGAAGTTTTTGCTTCTAGGTGTTTGTGCAGTTTCTCTGAAAAAAAGTTAATTTCTCAGTTGAAGTTGGAGAACTGAAGAGCTTTGGTTTATTTCACTAGATTCAAATGTCAGGATCCTTTCTGATTATAAGAGGTGGAATTAATCTTACCACTTTGGGCCCAACTTTTGTTGACAAGAATGATACCTCAAGTCAAAGTAAAATAAGTTTTTAAAAACTTATTTGTTGTCAACAACTTAATCTGGCACGTACAGACAGTTCATTTAGTGACCAAAGTTACAATGGCACTGAAAAAAGTGACATGACTATTTTTCATACTTATGACTGTTGTAGCATCACCATGGTCATGTGATCAAAATTCAGATGCTTGGCAACTGACTCATATTTATGATGGTTGCAATGTCCCAGGGTCATGTAATCACCTTTTGCAACCTTTTGATAAGCAAAGTCAATGGGAAAGCCAGATTCAGCTAACAACCATGTTACTAACTTAACAATTGCAATGATTCACTTAACTGTGGCAAGAAAGGTTATAGGGACAAAATTCACATAACAAATATTTCACTTAGCAACAGAAATTTTGGGTTCAATTGTGGTTGTAAGGCAAGGACTACCAGTATCTCCCATATGCAGATCTTTGTTCACTTGTGCTGTTTGCATAGTGGATTGACAGTGTGAAACTAGAGTTTGAGTTTACATATTCCTGATTAACTGTGTATATGTTACTTGTTTTAAGAACACCTAGACCTGTTCTTGTTGAACCTATGGAACAATTTGATGACGAAGATGGTTTGCCTGAGAAATTAATGCAAAAAACACAACAGTACCATAAGTAAGTACCCACTTCTAAAACAGAATATTAGAAATGAAAAAAGTAATGAAGAAATAGCATTGTAATCAAAATTCTCATTAAAACAAATCTTGCACAGTGTACCATGATAAAATTAGAGTTTAAAATTATTTAAAATCGGTTGATTGTATATTATATAAGAAACAAAAAGACTTGCCATGATTGAAAAATTATACTTGTGTCATAAAAGCAATAGCACTGTCACTTAGACTTATATACCGCTTTACAGTGCTTTACAGCCCTTTCTTAAGCGGTTTACAGAGTCAGCATATTGCCCCCAACAATCTGGGTCCTCACTTTGCCCACCTCGGAAGGATGGAAGGCTGAGTCAACCTTGAGCCTGGTGGGATTTGAACTGCCAAATTGCAGGTAGCTGGCAGTCAGCAGAAGTAGCCTGCAGTACTGCACTCTAATCACTGCATCACCAAGGCAGTGAAACTAATAGAGTTTAGATCTGTTTTCTATGCTATAAATTTTCTGAGATACTTTGCCATTTCATAGGGTAGAAGCAAAATAAATAAGTTTCAGAATGTGGAAATTATTAGCAAGATGAAAAACATTTTCCTATGCTATCTGCTGCTCAAAAATAAAGCGTACAGCAAAGTAAATTTTCTACAACCTTCCCTGCCATGTCAGTATTTCATACCAATAATACCAGTTGAGCCCATTGGGGATTACATCTTTGGTGTAGCAGATAGTAGGAATGGTTGATCTTCCTTTATATTTCCAGGCTTGTTTATTTGAAGAGCTGAGAAGAAAAGAATGTCTATGCTGCATACTTCCCACCTTCCGCTTTAAATTACCCAGTCTTGTTTTTTTCTTTGTACTTAAGTAGACAAGCTTTAGGTTTTTTTGGCACTAAATTAGCCATAGGCAACAAAATCAGTAACACTGTTATTTAAGAATCTATACAGAAGCCTTGAAGAAATGAATTAGAAATTTGCAGACAAATTTGCAGTTATATTTATGAAATGACAGCATTAAGGTGAAATGTGTCTTCTCTTAGGGAGAGAGAACAGCCCCCACGTTTTGCCCAACCTGGAACATTTGAATTTGAATATGCTTCACGATGGAAAGCTCTTGATGAAATGGAAAAACAACAGCGGGAACAAGTTGATAGAAATATTAGAGAAGCTAAGGAGAAGCTAGAAGCAGAAATGGAAGCAGCTCGACATGAGCATCAGTTAATGTTGATGAGACAAGGTATTCTTCATAAATTATTGCTTTAATCATGTGGGCTGAAGAATATTGGAAATAGTCTGATTATTTGGGTTAATGCATTTCAATACAATTCAAAACAATTTATGCATGTATTGAAGGACTTGTGACTCATGGACTGTATATTTGAAATACAAATATCTGGCCCTTGATAAGCGCTTTCTCAAACACATTCAGTGTATGAGATTTTGCTGATTTCCTGAACAGAACTTGTTTTTCTTTGTAGAGGAAGAATTTATAAGTGAGCTTTCTCCAGAGCCATTTGGTTATTTGACCCAGTAAGATAGAGCACTGGAGCTGTATTAAGTACAGAAGTCTTAATATACTGTGATTTTTGTATGATGCAAACAAAATTGACTTATTGAACAAATAAAGAATAGCCAGAATTCCCTACAATTGACTGTAATTAAACTGCTTATTAGTTGATCATACAACAATTTTTGACATTACTCTAATTCTAACTGTCGTATTTCTTAAAGTTGGATATTAACATTTGAAATAATATATTATTATGTATAATTAATAAAGTAGTTGCTATGCAAAAAAAATTGAGTTATAACTCAGATCTCCATCTGAAGTGTTGATTTTGATCAGAATTGCTTGCTTCATTGTGTTAGAGATAACAAATTACAGTCTTTAACACCTGTCTTTTCACATTATTGTCTCATGGCTGAGAAAGCTCAGGTACATTGCGATTTGCTTAAAGGCAGAGTTTGGTTTAGCCTTCAGTAGTTTCTGCACCTTGGAGTAGCATTTCAGGTCCCAGAAAATATGTCCAAAACCTGAGAAAAAGTCTTCAACTTAAGATTGATGTGTTCTATAATTAAAAATCCATTGCTTCTAGTTCTTTAAATTGTTCTTACTGATAACCTGTTTGAAGAGTTCAAGTTATTTACGTCTATTTTCTGATGTTTATGCTTATTTTGGTGAGGATATGTATACTACTATGGGTAGCCCTCAACTTACAACCACAATTGAGCCCAAATTTCTGTTGTTAATTGAGATATTTGTTAAATGAATTTTGCCCCATTTTATGACCTTGCCTTAGCTTTTAAGTGAAACACTGCAGTTGATAAATTAATAACCTGCTTGTTTAGTGAATCTGGTTTCCCCATTTACTTTGTTGTCAGAAGGTCGCAAAAGATGATTACATGACCTTCGAACACAACAATATTCATAAATATGAACCACTTGCTAAGCATCTGAATTTTGATCACATGATCATGGAGATGCTGCAAAGGTTGTAACTGAAAAATAGTCATAAGTCACTTTTCAGTGCCATTTTAACTTTGTACGGTCACTAAATGAACTGTTCTAAGTTGAGGACTACTTGTGTTTGTGTCAGAACAATCATTGCTATAGCTGTTTTAACTTTTTGCAGATCTTATGAGGCGTCAGGAAGAACTGAGACGTTTAGAAGAACTTCGAAACCAAGAGTTACAGAAAAGAAAGCAGATACAATTAAGGTATTCCATAGATTTTTAAATACTGGATTTTGCAGCTCAACATGTAACCTTTTAAACTTCACAGTTTTAACAGTGTCTGTGAATTCTTCTATGAAAAACTTCAGAAGATAATATCTCTATTTTCAATTTACTAAATGAATTGATGATACGGTATCAATGAAACCTTTTTTTATTAGACTGCTGGGTAAGATGTGGCAGATTAAATGATGAAATTTTGATATGTTTCTAGATAAGAGATGGTATATTGGAAGAAAAGATAATTTGTATTTTAAGAGAAGGTGATGTTACTAAAAATTGTTTATGCTTGTGATAAAGGAGGAAGTAATTTGTTTATATATTTCTTTTCCTTTACTATATTTTTTCCTTTTATATTTTTTCTTTCTTTCACCTAGTTTTTCTTTTATTTTTTTGTTCATAAGTTTTTATTGTTGCAGTGGTAATTTTTTAATAAAATCAATACACAAACACATTTTTTAATCTTCATTTTAATATAAAGTCACAAATCTGTGAGATGGACTTATATAAATATTAATAAATTAATAAATAGTGATAATTCTAGTAGTATTTTAGAATACTACAGAATAAGTTTTTTATTGTATTCTTATTGTGATATGCATCAAGGAAATGTAGACACTGCATAGCATCTCTAAGATATGTACTAAAGATCACATAAGATAACCTGATGGAGGACATGTCAAACTATAGTGAAAAAACAACTGAAAAATAACAACTAGTAAGGCTGAACATATGTGGCATTGTAAGAGAAAGTATTTTTGCATGAAAATATGCAGCAAGAACTTTAGGAAATCATATTTTATATGTAATGGCTAGGCATGAAGAAGAGCATAGGAGACGTGAAGAAGAGATGCTGCGTCAGAGAGAACAGGAGGAACTGAGGAGACAGCAAGAAGGTTTCAAGCCAAATTTCATGGATACTGTAAGTAGAATTCTTTATACTAATTGATGTGATTAGGAGAAAGGAGTTCTGTTATTCCTGACAGTTAAATTTGAGAATCTGTCATGACAATTTTTTGATTTTTTGCACAATCATTTGCATATTATTTGTTTTAGTGTATTGGTTATTATATGATGACATTACAACAATTATTATTAATTATTAATATTATTACACATATGACTTAAATTAATCTAGATGGTCTCATTTGCATAATGATGCCATTGTTTAAATAACATAAATCATTCTGGAAATTTACTCCATACATGCAGAGTCCATTATAACATTTGTTTGGTAAATTTAAATTTTAGTGTAGTTACGTTTGAAGACATTCTACAACACAAACACACCTGGTTTTCCTATTTGTATGAAATAACAATAGAAAATGAACAAAGCCAAACTTTTATCCTCTCCATTTTCCTCTGTTGATTATGGTGGATTGAATGCCCTTTCTCCACCATAGGGAAAAAAACCCTTCATGTAATTCCAATATTCCATTTCCCAATGCCTAAGGTGGGCATTCTGTGGTGGGACATATACGTAGTCTTTGACCTAGGACCACAATTGAGACCATTGTAAATTTGAATGGTCACTAGACAAATAGTTATAAGTTGAGGACTACTTGTATCCCAGCAGTTCAGAATGGGAAAAGAAATGTATAATTAACAGGAAGGAACCACCTGTTCAAGAATCTGCCTGCTTAAAGTATTCCTGTCTGAGCTATCAGACAGTCTTTAAAATGTATAAAAAGAAAATACATGTCAGGTGACCAATGATTCCAGCAGCCATCTACCTAAATAACATCTATCAGGAATGTTTTGATAAATGTTTAATGGAAACCAGATATGTAAGAGTTTAATTAGAACCAGGTGTGGTGCCTAAAAAGGTGATCTTTGTATTGTGGGTGTTTTTGCAGAGAAATTCCTTAGATAAATTTATAGAAGATATATGTATAGGAAGTGTATTGCTCCACCAAATTCTGTCCAGAATAGTGGAAATTGCAAGTACTAGGGTGGAGGCTGTAATTGAGACGACTGGAGAAACATTGAGGAACAGAAATTTGTTTAATGGAAAGCTTTTTCCTTTTGCACCAGCAATACAAAGATTCAAAATCAGCTCATAACCGTACATTGTGAATCCCTGTGAAATAAATGGTTTCCTAGTACTCTGACTCTAGGTACCTCTGATACTTGACTGCTAGGTACTTCTCTGCTTCAAAACTTGCTGAATTTGGTACTTGATGCATTTTAATGTGAAAATGTTGTCCCGGTACTCGTCGTTTGTTTGGTACTTGACGCGCTTCAATAGGAAGGGAGGATGGCCATGGAGAACAGACAGGATGTCACCCATGCCAGGAAGGTTACTGCAAAAGGATGCAGGGGACGGTCTCCAAGGGTGGATAGGAAGTTGGCCATGCTGGGAAGATTGCTGACATAGAAAAAGGGACAGACAGAAAGTCTTTCCCGGCCGAAACAAAGGGTCACATGGTAAGTTGTTTGGTTTGTTTGGTACTCATCATTTTTAATAGTCGTCGCACCTCTTGGGACCAATTAACGACGAGTACCGAGATACCACTGTATAACCAATATTAGCTATGTGACTGCTTAACCTCCAGGAATTACATTGAAAATTGCTCAGATCCATACTCTACATAGCTGTGCAGCTCCAGTAGCTGTTCAAATGGTTATGGGTTTTTTTGGTATAATAGGTGGAGTCCATTAGAACTACAGTCTCATCCATCTAAGTAATCAGCATATCAATTGTTTATGCTCTGAGGGGAACATTGATAAAAACAAAGTTAGAGATTTGAATTTTGGTTCTTATGCAGTAATGAAATGTTTAAAAGGAACATAGCATGCAAAATCTCTTTCACCTACAAAAATTTTATTAATTACAGATACTTACAAACATGATACAAAACTGCATTGTAGCGAATGAGGTTTGAAGAAGAGAGGAGAGCTGGAAAAAAGTCTTCTGGCAGACTTGTACAATTTTACCTTTTATCTTTCATCAGCCATGTTCTGCAGCATTCCCTCATGTGTCACCTCAGTTGTCCTTTAGTTGATATCATATATTGCTGGTCAGATGTGACTTGCTATGTTAACTTTATCTCTGGTGATTGTCCTCTGGTCTTTGATTTCAAAGTTCTACATGGGGCTACCCTTGAAGGGCATCTGAAAGCTTCAGCTGGTGCAGAATATGGCTGCACGGACAGTTATATGTGCCTCTAGGATGGCACACATTACATCTCTGTTCTGTGAGCTGAATTGGTTGCCAGTTTGCTTCTGGGTGCCATTCAGGGTATGGTTTTTGACTTTTAAACCCCTGTATGGCATGGGACCAGGTTATTTGGGGGACCGTCTCTTCCCAATTACATCTTCCCGTCCCATGCAGAAGAAGAGGGATAATCTAGGTCCTATCTCTTAAGGGCTTTCATCTGATGGGACCCAAGAGTCATGCTGTTTCTGCTATAGCCCTTACTCTCAAGAACAGCATTCCCCCTAAGGTGAGGTTAGCTCCATCTCTGTTAGCCCTCTGAAAAAGCCTTGAAAAATGTGGTTCCTCCATCAATTCTGGGGATTCTACAGTGAGCTTTAAAAATGAACGAGGCTAAATCGTTCTGGTCATTAAAAATGAACGAGGCTAAAATGAACGAGCCTTAAAAATGAACGAGGCTAAATCGTACTGGTTGTCCTCCCAGTATCTTGGTTTTTTCCTCTTTATGTTTTTGTTTTTTTATTTTTGTTACTTATGTCTGATGTTTTTTATATTGTGATATGGTCTTAATTGTTATTTTGCTTGTAAGCTATATGCAGACTCACTTTTTTGCGAAATGGGCAGCTGTATAAAAGGACTGGCTAGATAAATGAATTCCATAAATGATTATAGAAATCATTCTTCCAACTACCCAGTCAATTAAATCAGTTCCATGAACTATTTTTAGTTTCATAATTTCTCAATCTAAAGCTTATCTAATTTGTATGGTCATGTGTCAAATTGCAACTACTTTGTTTAGAGTTTTGAGAATATTTGCCTTGCATTTGCAACTTCTAATATAAAACTGCTTTTTCCTACTTCTTTAATTGTTCATGCTATTCCATAGTTTGGAAACATCGCAAAAAGTTTTTTTAAGTTATCCCTTAATTTCATGCATTAGTAACTGGAGTTTGTATCTCTTAGGCAGGGAAAATACTACCAATGTAATAACTCTTTCTACATCATTTGTCAAATGTTAATGTGTCTTCATTCCTCATAAAAATATCCTACTAGAGTAACTAGACAATGAACTTGTTTCCTTTTTTTTTAGTTTAACTTAGTTTGCATGTACTAGTTCCTACTAATGTAGAATCATTACATTATAAACAATAGGTTTTTTTACAGTGGTTCATATACATATTCAGAGACATTCCCTACATTTCTTGCCATATGTTTGTTTTGGCTGTTGTCATAGGAAAGATCACAACATGTCTATGTTATATGACTGAGAGCTCATATTTGAAGACAAATGTTTTGTTGCAAACAATAGTTTGTGAAAAAATACTGAAAAGCAACTTTTTTTGTTTTGTTTTTATTCTGTTAATTTTCTATGCATTCCAAAATAAAAAAATATATAGCTGGTAGGGTAATATTGTATGTTCTTTTCTGTGAGGAATTGATTCCAGATGTTAAGACTGATTCCAAAAGACAAGAGGGAGATTGACATCTTCTCTTCTGACTTTACATGAATGTTAGGATGACCTCATCAACCTGTGTCTCAGCAACTTCTGCCTCACCACCTACTTTCACTTGATGGACAAATAAATATAACTCTGCATCAGAGGAACACATATAGAATCCCCCCTCTCAGGACTCATAGCAGAGACCATAATGCAACATGTACAAATTGTAGAACTCCCAAAAATATGTATCTAGTGTGCAGGTGACACCATCATAATAAAAAAGGAACAACTAGAGAAGATACATAAAACAATAAAATAAAATTCACAAGAGATGAAGAAAACAGCACACTATCCATCTTGAATATCCTCATCAGCAGAAGAAATGATGGCAAATTAGAAACACAAACCTATTGAAAAACAACCAACATTAACCAAGTGCTCCATTACCAAAGTAACAATCCAACCTATCATAAGGGATGCGGTGTAAGAACATTATTCAATCAAATACAACCCAAAACAACAAAAAGAGGAAACAGAACACCCATGCAACATCTTCAAATGGATACCCATGCTATTTTATCAGGAAGCATCTGACCATCCAATCCACTATAGCAAAATCAAACCAAGCTATGAAAAGGCTAACATTACCATACATCAAAAACTACTGTGTTTCCCTGAAAATAAGACCCTGTCTTATACTGTTTTTGAACCCTGAAATGAGCGCTTGGCCTTATTTTCGGGGAGGTCTTATTATTTTGGGGCGCGTGGAGCAATACGGGGCTCCTCATGGAGTCTTACCTGATTTCCAGCTCTGTCTCCCTAACTCTAACCAGAGCAAATGGTGGGGACTGGCTGCGCATGCGGTTAAATACTTTTGGGGAGGGCTTATTTTCAGAGAGGGCTTATTTTAGCCCATGCGCTTAAAAGCCCAATTCGGCTTATTATCAAGGGATGTCTTATTTTCAGGGAAACGGTATCAGTGGATTATTATAACCACACAGCACCACTGTTGTACACAAACTGATTAAAGCCCTCCAAAACATCTTAATTAAACCAAAAGACCAAGAAATCCAAGAAAAACAATAAGACTCATCTACAACATACAATGTAAATACTGTAACAGCCACTATGTAGGACAGATAGGTAGAAGACTAGCAGAGCACCAACTGAATGAACACCCACTAGCAGTCACAAGACATAATGAAAACTTGTTAATCTCACAACACATGGACAAACTCAACCATAGTTTCAATTGGGATACTAGGGAGCCTTCTTGGCTGCTTGATGTTTTCGCTCTCTGTCCCTTCACTATGGAAGGGACAG